CCACATCACGGGGTGTATCACCCGAGGAGAGGAACCTTGAGAGTGGTCTTCGACTGCGGCGCTGGCTTCAAAGGAACATCGCTCAATGAACAATTGCTACAGGGTCCAGATCTTACCAACTCACTTATAGGAGCACTCCTCAGATTCAGACAAGAGCCTGTTGCCCTGATGGCTGACATCAAAGCAATGTTTCACCAGGTCAAAGTGTCAGACAACCATATTGACTACTTGCGATTCCTATGGTGGCCTGATGGTGACGTGCAGCAGGATCTCGTCGAATATCGGATGAAAGTACACCTCTTTGGAGCAGTGTCATCGCCGAGTTGCGCAAATTTTGCACTAAGAAAGACAGCTGAAGATAACCAAACTCACTTTCCAGCAGAGGTTATAGACACCGTAAAAAACAACTTTTACGTAGATGATTGTTTGAAATCCATGTCCACAGAACAGGGCGCTGTTCTTATGGTAAGAGACCTGACCACTCTCTGCCAGAAGGGAGGATTCATACTGTCTAAGTGGATCAGCAACAGCCGTAAGGTATTGGCATCAATTCCACAAGAAAACCGAACCAAGGAAATAAAAGAGTTGGACTTGGACAAGGACAACCTGCCGACGGAAAGAGCACTAGGATTGCACTGGTGCGTTGAGACAGACGTGTTCACGTTCAGAATGACTGCACCCTCACGAGCATACACCAGACGCGGCATCCTGTCCGTGGTTGGCTCTGTATACGACCCTTTGGGATTCCTGGCGCCATTTGTTCTGCCAGCCAAACTGATTATGCAGGAACTCTGTAGAAAACACCTTGGATGGGATGAAAACATACCCCAAACCATTTCTCAACAATGGACACAATGGCTGACAGATCTAAACAACATGACAGAGTTAAAGGTGGACCGTTGCATGAAGCCCACAAACTTTGGTCAAATTGGACATGCACAGTTACACCACTTTTCAGACGCCAGCGAAAGTGGATATGGTACAGTTTCATATCTTCGACTGGAAAACAACGAAAAGGAGGTGCACATTGCCTTCATGATAGGGAAAGCAAGAGTAGCACCATTAAAGCAAGTAACGATTCCCAGATTGGAGCTTACTGCTGCAGTTCTAGCTGTCAAAGTTGATATAATGCTTCGGAGAGAATTACAGCTTCAGCTGAACAAATCCACCTTCTGGACGGATAGCACAACAGTGCTGAAATACATCACCAACGAAACAAAACGTTTCCGAACCTTCGTAGCAAATAGAATCTCCTTCGTAAGGGACGCTACCGACGTGTCACAATGGAGATATGTCAGCACAAAGGAAAATCCGGCAGATGAAGCCTCTAGAGGACTAACGGCAAACCGCTTCTTAAGCTGCAGGAGATGGATCAAAGGACCAGAGTTTCTCTATCAACCAGAAAAAGAATGGCAGAAACCTTTTTTGGAAACCACAATCTCTGTCAATGATCCAGAAGTCAAGCAAGACATCACAAGTAACCTCATTGTGAAAGGTCCATTGAACCCCACCAGCTCTTTGATGAGTTATTTCTCTTCCTGGAAAAGTCTAATGACAGCTGTAGCGTGGCTACTTAAAGTAAAAACAACTCTATTACTGCTGACTAGAAAAAGAAAGGAGATCCAGACCGCTGTGAGTATTTTAAAAGACGAGGTCAGCCAATTAAAGGAAATGCACGCCTTTAAAGCAACACTCCAAAGACAGTGTTTAAATCACGAGGACTTGATGCATGCAGAACGTGCTGTTATCTCTTTCAGTCAAAGGCAAAGCTTTGAAGAAGAACTATCCACACTAGGGGCTGGTAAAAATGGTGTTAAAAGAAGCAGTCATCTGTACAAGCTGGACCCGGTGTTGGACGATGGACTTCTGAGAGTCGGCGGTCGCCTGAGTAGACTAGCGATGCCTGAAGAGGCCAAGCACCCAGTGATTCTCTCAAAAGACCTGCACGTATCCACACTATTGCTACGACATATCCACGAACAAATTGGCCATGGGGGAAGAAATCATATGCTGTCCCGACTCCGTAAAAAGTACTGGATTATCAAAGCTAACTCTGCAGCAAGAAGGATCATAACAAACTGTGTTGTGTGCAAACGACTGCAGGGAAGAGTTGGAGAACAGAAAATGGCAGACTTACCTCTGGAAAGGATTCTACCAGACAAGCCTCCATTTACAGACGTAGGAGTAGACTACTTCGGCCCTATAGCGATCAAAAGAGGACAAAGTCTTGTTAAAAGATATGGCGTAATCTTCACCTGCATGGCAAGCAGGGCAGTGCATCTCGAAGTTGCATATACTCTTGACACAGACTCCTGCATCCATACACTACGAAGATTTATTTGTCGGCGAGGTCAAGTGCAGTCTTTAAGATCAGACAACGCAACAAACTTTGTTGGAGCTGAAAGAGAATTGAGAGAAGCACTCAATGCCTTGAATCAGGACAAAATCCAGACGGCTATGCTTCAGAAGGGAATTAAATGGCACTTTAACCCCCCAGCAGGGTCTCATCACGGCGGTGTATGGGAGCGTTTGATCCGCATGGTCCGAAACGTGCTGCGCTCTGTTCTTAGCCAACAAGTTCTGGATGATGAAGGATTGCAAACTTTAATTTGTGAAGTTGAAGCAATTCTAAATGATCGACCCATTACCAAGCTCTCAGAGGACCCAATGGACCTGGAAGCACTCACCCCAAACCACCTCCTTCTGTTGAAAACCAAGCCGATACTACCACCTGGACTCTTTGTAAGAGAGGACTTGTATCTAAGGCGCAGATGGAGACAAGTACAATACATGGCAGATCTCTTCTGGAAAAGGTGGACACAGGAGTACTTACCATTAATTCAAGAACGACAGCGGTGGTCAAAGGTAAAAAGGAACTTCGCCCCAGGTGACATAGTTGTGGTGGTCGACTCCACTGCACCACGAGGCTCCTGGTTAATGGGTAGAATACTGGAGACGAAATCATGCACAAGGCCTTGTGCGTACCGTCCGACTTCAGACAAAAACCAACATATTGGAAAGACCAATAACGAAGATATGTCTGATTAAAGAAACTGATATTTAGTAAGGCCTGGTGGTAAGGACCAGATACCACCAGGTTCCAAGTTTTGGAGCCCCGGGCCCCAAAAATGACTACTTCAAAAGAAGACCGAAGAATCAGCGAAGAGAATTAATTGCCAACACATTCCCTTATTATTTTTTGGTAATTGTTATAAAAGACAATTAGGGGCCGGTGTGTAGGAGCCATTATGTGTTGTTGTTGGCAAAGTATATTTTGTTTGTTACACTGTATTTATATTGACACTTATGTACACCCAGGTGCACCTAATCACCGCCACCTAGTGTCCAAAGTGTCAATATAAATAGCTTATCCTATGTGGGGGTTTTTTTCGTCAAGGGTTCTGTGGTAATACCGTACCATCACAGGCTGTGAACACACACGTGCTGCCCTCTTTGTTTACCTTTTTCCTTTACCTCTAAATGCTGTTGTTACCCTGTGTGTACCTGCAATGCACTGTGGGTAATTCCTCTGGGCTCAAAATGGCTCATTTGACAGCTGGACAGAACTAAACCCTGAAGGGACTTCGCGGGAGCGCGCCTCAGTGTGCGTGGAACGTGGAGCGCGCCTCACCTTGCCTCTCGAAAGATGGCGCGGAGCAGGACTCCGGTGGACGGAGGCCCCGCCGCTGCTGCTGTGACCTCCGAAGTACCTGCTGATGGACAGCGCTTCTTGGCGGACTTTAGCATATTTTTGTTTGCTCTCATTAGAAACATCTTGGAAACGTGTGCAGAAATCCGTGCACACGTGAAGGGAAGCAACGCAGTGGGCGGTGGTTTCCCAAACATAGCGTCGCATGTGGTGACAACCACAAACAACTATCGTGAATAATAAAATGAAACTACAGACAATCTGTGTTGTTTTCAAAACATTTTTACGTCTGGTCTTTCTAGACTGATAAACTGCCCCCCACAGACAAGAAAACTATTATAATGCTGTAAATATCCTTATTAAAAAATAACTAATGATTTAATAAATGGCCATAGTAATACAGTTATGATAAAGCGTTAATCAGTTGATATCAAAATGACATTACGAGCCGGATGGCTAGTAAGATATTTCTACTTTTTCAGCACTATAAATTTAAATAGAATTAGGCCATTGAATTACTCTGTTTTCTACCTGCTCTTTTGCTCATCTGATAAGAGGTTGAAACGCAAGAAAGGTTGCTTTGTGTCAATGTTTCCACTTGGCTTTACTTCTCTTATTCGGTATGTCTCGTCTCTCTTTCTGACAAAACGATATGGTAATCCGAAAGCAGATGTGATATTCCAGTGCAGAACTGGTGGATCAACATCACAGGCAGTTTCTAACTCGGGCACTGGCCCCATACACTTCTCACCTTCCAATTCAGCATTTCACACACAGGTCACACTTCCCCCAGGTGTCCACAAGATGCTGAAACCAATCTGCCACAATAAAAACACATTATCTGCTTTTCGCAGTTTCTGCAGTTCTTATCCACACACTTCATCTGAAATACACTTTTTATCATTTTAATTTTAATTGCATGCACATGCAATTGTCATGATTAATATATATATATATATATATATATATATATATATATATATATATATACAGTATGTATGTAACATATTTTATTCATACTAGTATCTTGCAGAGCTGAGAGTTGGCACTGCATCTCAGCTAACTATCTAGCCCTCTGAAAAGGCGTATATATTGTCTAAAAATAAATTAGACTAATACCTGCATCTTGCTCATAATATATATTTTTTTTATTTAAAGGTTAAAGGTCTTTAAGGTTTTATGAAATGAAATCAGGTAAAGTGAGACAATAACGTCCTTTGAACATCACCTGCAAAATAAGTGTGAAAGGTCAATGTTGTTGCAACAATCAATCCTTCTTTCTTTGCATTGAACCACTGCAGCATTTGCAGCTTGATTTCTCAAACCTGGAGATTTTCCTTTCACTTTCAGTCATGATGAATGTATTAACTCGCTCAGGCTGATGGGAGGAGGCTTTCTGAAGAAACACAACTAGGTTTAGAGGCGACTGGTGGGTTGGACTATAAAGGGGGAGCTTTGGCAGAGTGGACATCTTTTCTCCAAGTGCGCAGGTGATTAAACATCGGTTCTTCCCGTCTGTTCAGGATGCATTTTTATGGAGCGCTGATCCTGTTTGTGACTGTGTCTGCGGGTAAGAAAAGTTTAAAAGTCACGTGCCTTAGCGTGTAATATTTTTTTCTTTTTTTTTGTTATTGTGGATTTACTTCCAACTTCCTCTGCTCGTTCTCTTGTTTGAATCGTTTTCAGCAATATTTCATAAAAACAATTCACAGAACAACGAGCATTATACTTGGAGTATGTTTAAAACTGTTGTGTTTATTGTGTCTTTCCTGTACAGCATGTGGACTGACCTGCCACTCATGTGATGGCAAAGGCTGCACTAACAACGTCACTTGTCCCTCCAATATGGATCGTTGTAGCAGCATCGAGGTGAACGGTGAGTGGTTCTTCCACAGCTGATGTTCAACATCTCAAACTCATTATCGATCCGACATGTTGCTGTGCTGAACGCCTGGTGGCTTTCATTGTTGTTGAAACTGAGTTGCTTTCCATCAGGTGTTGTCACCAAGAGCTGCATGAGGAGAGAACGTTGTGTTGCAGCGATACCGACACCGTGCTGCTCCACTGACTTGTGCAACGGAGCCACACACGCCGCCTCCAGCATCCTCCTCCTGATGGCATCATCGGGCCATCGTCACGCTCTTTCTCTGAGCTACAGATATTAAAATATATAACAATGTTTGTCTTCTTTCATCACCAATTTGTACAACCTAAGAAGAATAAAGCCTTGATGTATAAAAGCTGACTTTTGGTCGATATTTGTTCAATAAACAATATGATGAAACATTTTCTTTTTGGCATTTCACGTCAACGTGTACAGTAAAAACTGCTTTTCAATGAATCATATTTTGAAGGATTAGAAAAATGAGTGAGGAGCTACGAATCAGTGACAGCAGACGCTTCAAAAGTCAACTAACTTGAAACTAGAATTAAGAATGTTTGCTGAGCTGTGTGTCAGATGTCAAGATGCATCAATATGTCCAATAAGTTGTTCCTTCATGCATTCAAGTCTGCCTACATGTTCTTTTGTCCTTTCTTAAAGAAATATTGAGGTAATAATTAATGAGAATAAACTCTTACGTAATCTGATCACAGAATGCAAACAAAAGAAACAGATAAAAACACGAATCAAAGACCCTCTGAGGCACTGCAGGTTTGTGGTTCACACTTTTACAAAAAAAGCTCCTCTCGCTCGCTCATCTGTGCAGAAAAAAAAAAAAACATAGGCCGCCCCAGTGCATGCTGGTCCTTAACTTGGTTTCATTTCCTGTAACCTGTATGTGTTTATGGCCAGAAGGCACTCTGATCAGAGAAAGTTCTGCAGCCTCGTTGTGACCTTCAGTCTCCACTGTGCAGTGAAGAAAACTCACCTGAACCAGAAATGAACCAGATAGAAACTTTCCCCCAACACACGATAATTCCACATGGATAAGAAAACCAACCAAGTAAAAAGAAAAAAAACACAGAATCCTAAATATAAATTAATGCCGGTTGAAAGACGCACACTTTAATAAACTGCCTGCAACCACTAAACATGAACACATGAAATGTGAGGTAAAACAAAGAGAACCATAGAACACTACTACCGACATGGGGGGGAGTAACCAACGCGGCGTCCTTTTTGTTGTCGGCGGGAGCGCGTAACTAGAGTGCGAAATGACTGTCGTGCTCAATGCGTGACAGTTGCGAGTCCTGTTTTGGTATCCGGTTTCCTGTTACAAAAGCCCTTGATCTCACTGGTTTTAGCTGAAGAAGGAAACTCTGCAACTACAGAGCGTAAATATGAACACACATAAACACATGACTCAGATCTATAACAAACTACTAAAGCAGCCACTTGTTAGCGAGCGCCTCGTTTAAAACACTTAAAAGCCTCAAAATCAGGTACAGTTATTGACACATTTATATCGTTGAACCAAATGTTAAATTATCTTAAGCTGAAGTTAACCACGGACCTTTTCTCTCTCATTCTGAGTGATTTTCTTGTGGTAGAGGCGTGACAGCTCTGACTGCTCTGGTATCAAGGACTTGCTCATGCTTGTTGGAAGGCCTCATGCAGTGAATCTGGCCTCACCAAGGAGCTCAGCTACACATGTTTGACGTCTTTCACGAGCTCCTTCTCAAACTGAACAAAGGTGGACAGCCTCACTAAACAATTGTTTGCGTCTTTGTTTTGTCATAAGCATTATATACTTTTTTGTTGTATTTTAAAATGTTCAAACATGTAGAATGAACATGTTTTGACCAAGAAACAAGAAACAGCATTTTGATCAGGTAAACTGTGGCAGCTATGATTGGGTTGATTAGCCATAGAGAAAATACAGCAACAAAGTAACAATTAATATTATTGAATACATTTTAAGTCCTACTATTCAAATTGAAAACTTTGATTTAAAAGATTTAAGGGAGGTAAGAAAGACTAGAAATGTTAATGTGTTGAATAAAGAAAAAAATACACAAAAATTTAAGTTAATACATTTTAGTTAATAAATCCAAATGTTCCCCTTAATAATCAGTAAATATAGTAAATCATAATCAATTTCCATCAGATAATTAGTATGTGGTAATCCATTTCATCAAGTAACTAAGTAAATATAAGTTCCTTTTGCTCAGATAATTAAAAAATTGCAAGCAAAACTGATAATAAAACAGTATTAAAATGTCCTTTTGTTACCAAACTTTGTTAAGCAATCACTTTTAAGGTTTTACAGTGAAGAACATCACAGTATTGAATAGACCCTTTGAATACACTGTGTTTAAGATGAGCTAAAATAATCTTTTATCAGTTCAGCTGCCGGGAAAGGGGCCGGAACAGAACCAAAGGGAAAAGTGCACATGGACATAATGAAAACAAATTGTCAGAGCAAACAGGTTTCATCTGGAATGACTAAACTCCATGTGAACTGTATCTCCATTGTGAGACACTGGACAGTGAACTTTCCCTCACTGCAAACATCACAGAGACGACACGTTCCTGTAGGTACATGCTGCATTGTCCCCTTCTCACTCAGAAGGTGCTGCAGGTTCTGGTCAAGGCTCAGGTCATCTTACCACCGCAACGTACCCACGATGCAGCAGCTCGACTGCTCTTCAACCTAAATTCACCATCAGTACTCCTCTCCTCCTCCACTCTGTGAACAGTTAAAGTAAAACCCAGAAAAATAGAGGCAACAAAGTGTTAAGGTTTCGGAAGGCTCTCGAGGGAGGACTCAATCCTTTGTTCTCGTCCCGGCCGGAAACGAGGACACGAATGAGTCAATTCGTTTAAATTCAAAAATCAAAAGTTATTTAATAACTGAACAACGTAATAGGGATTACAATTACAAAGTGAAATTCTAAGCGAACAGTGGAATATTTCGCGAAATAGAGAATCCTCTGAGCAAGTCTAAAGTGACTTATCAACGCGGCTGCAGGAGAAATTCTAACAGTCTTTTCCCCCGCCATGGTCCTTTGAAAACTCTTGAGGTGTGTCTTCCTTGGTGCATTTGAATGTCATTGGCCTCTTCTCCAAAGGGACACCTCCTCCATTGTCCCTTCCACGTCGAGGTGTGAATCTGCAGCTGTAACCTGAAACCTCTCTGTCCTAGCTGTCCCTCACATTCCAATGCACTCAATGTAGATACAGTGGCTTTATGCCTCAATGAGTGAATTTAACAAAGCATACATCGTTTAAGTCTTCATCTTATAACTAGTACACTTTAATTACAACAACCCATCATTAATGATCACCGTTCATCACACTTCATCATAAGATCTAAAACAGTTCATGTGGTTCAATTCTCAAGACATTTGCCTCAGTCGGCTGCCTTACATGAAGTTGTTCATTTATTACCTGACAGGAGAAAAAACTCCCAAAAAACCCTCTTTGGGGATAAAATTGGGAGAAATCCATAAAGAACGGCAATTGGCATCCGTCCCCAGGTTTTAACATCACATTGTGACAGAATGTTAATGTGTACAGTGTTTATATGATTTAAATGACTATGAATTGTGTTTGATTGAAATTGCATTCACTTCATCTAACATGTTAATGTAATAACTAATATCTAATAACACACAAACTATAATTCTATCACTAAACATCATTACACGTACTACAAATTCTATGACTAGGGGTGCACTTCTGGCTTGAATCCCTAACAAAAGTAACAACTGATATTGTTTAATACATTTAAAGTCCTACGATTCAAATTTAAACCTAAATTTAAAATAGTTAACGGCGGGTACGAATAAAAAGAGACGCATCTCAGTTTGGAGAGATGAATCCATTTACCCTGCGGGCTTGTTTCCCCAGAAGGGATTCATGCAATAGCCTTTTTTGTTAACTTCTATGTAAATTCAATGTCAGAAATACTTGTCATTTGTTTTTCTTGCATCAGTACATCTTCTTTCTTGTCAGATTTCCTGCTGTAATAAACACAGAATTTAAGCCTGAGTCCAGATGTACAAACAGAAAAGAGAAAAAAGTTCTTGTCGCCACAAGTCAAAAGACGCTTCAGGTGTGAGTAAGTGGTTCTGTGCACTGGAAAGTCTGTCTGGCCTCCAGCTTCTTTGCAAACAAGTTTCATTTTAAGACAAGAGCTCCAGGTCTTCTCATCCTCCCCTTTGCCTGCTACTCTTCATTCTAGGCCAGCTCCTTCTTGAACTCCCCGTCCAGATCTTTGTGGTTTGATTGGCAAGCTTCAATCTTAACTCCGTGCTCGGTTTCTTTCAGCCTGACACCCAGGGGTTTATATTTGGCCTGCCAGACTTTCTCCCTTTGGAGAAGTCCATCTTGTCTGTGAGCCTCTATGAGGCCGCCCCAGTGCATGCTGGTCCTGTACCGTCCCACTCCTTTAAATATCAAAGAGGTGCTCACAGTGTTCCCCAAATCAGCCATCAAACTAACGCAAAATTAAATATAGTTAAATGAAGCATGAAGTAAACGATCGACTATGAAACAGAAAAAGGCATCTTAAAATATCGAACAAGCTAACCTAAATAATGAAATACTTATTCATCTTTTTGTGGCGTAATAGTTTCCTATCCTACCGGCAACGCCACTACAAAAACATTTTTATTCAATAAATATGCATTACCATAAAATCTAACATTCATCACAAAATAAGAAAAGAAAACTAATCGCTAAGGCCTAATGGTGAGAAGCGCCGGTGAAGGGGAAGGAAAATTAATAAAACAAACTTAGAGAAAACCAAACCAGAGTTCACCCAGTGATAGCACAAAAATCCAATGGGACACGACACACGAGGAAGACCACCACCACCCACACCACCGGCGCCACCACCAGCCTGCAGCCGCTAGGAAGGATAACAAAAAAAAGAAGGTTACAAGAGGATTAAACCAACAATTTACAACACGAAACAGTAAAAGAAAAAAATTCACATAAAAATCATCCTAATCAAATAATTCACGTAACCCAAACAAAAAGAAAATAAGGGAAACAGACCAAAAGAAATACAAACTAAAGGATTAATTACTGTTACATTCTGCCTGTGCCTGGCCATGCAACAGAGAGGGAAGACCACGCGGATGAGTTGATTGAAAGAAAATACTGTTTATTAAGGACAACGAATGAGCAACGTAAAGTAAATAAAGTCAGTATAAGTGTTAGTCAGGAGAACTGAAAGCGTATGCAATCAGGGTATATGAAAAGTCATGTAAAAGGAAACAAAATCAGCAAAACGGTGCGGGAGAGAAGGAGAAGCGGCAGCCCTCCTTCCACCAGGTCTCCCCAGCTTTTAAACC